CAAATTTGAAAGAGTTTGCCACCTCACCTTGAAAATTCCTCAAAAAGAGAAAAAAAAAAAAAACACTAAACACGACAACGGTTTCCTGGTGTGGAGTGTCGTGCCAAATAGTTAATGGACGCCATTGCTGTCACCCAATCGACAAAATGTGCCATGAAAAGGAAAACACGTTGAATATGCTTTGTTCTAGTGATACATCTGTCATGAACCACCACGCGCGATGTATTTGTCTGACTGACCAACCTAATGACCATGTTGCCCTTTATCCGTTCTCGGTGGAAGCTCATGTGGACTCCGTGAAAAACTCCGGGCCCCTCATTGTCCGTGGTGGAGGCTGATTCTCACATAGTGCCCATACGTGTCCATGGATTGTTTGCTCAGTGATACCACCTGCGTTACAAATTCTAAATAACAGGACTGGGTTTTATTTATTTTTTAAATGAGTACTTTAACATAAACATTAACATTAACAACAGAAAAGCTAACGGAAGAAGGGATTTTACAGTATATTTTATTGAATAATATTATTTGTTAGAATACTATTTTTTTTCTTTTGATTTTTTTTTTAATTTTAATTTTAATTTTATCTATTAATATTAAATTTATTAAAAAATCAGTTTTATAATTATTTTAATTATTGTTTTATAAGATCATTCCAAACTCATGAACTCGACCACAAGTTTAGCGAATTAACTTAATTGAGTTGAGTTTTTTCTTTATTTTTCTAATAAATTTTTTTAATTATATCTTTTAATATTGGATTAATTCAGAATTAAACTTTATAATTTATTTTAGTTTGTTTTATACAAATTTACTCTCATCTCATGAATCGAATTATGAGTTTGATTGGTTAATCTAAATAACTTTTTATATTTTTTTTAATTTATTTATTTTTAAATTTCATATTTAACACCTGATTTAATGTAAATTAAGTTTTATAATTTGTTTTAACTTGGTTTTTATTGGTTTATCTTAATCTAGTGACTTGGATCATGGATTTGAAAAGTTAATTCAGGTTGACTTGAATTATTTTTTATTTTTTAATTAATTTTTTTAATCTCATATTTCAAGATTGTGCTTATTGAAAATCAAATTTTATATTTTTTTCATGCGATTGTTATAATTTTATGATTTAGTATGCGACTTGACAAGTTAACATAAGTTAATTTAAATCAAGTATATTATTGTTTTAATGTTTATTAAACAATTTAATTTAAAAAAAATTAAGTTTTATAATTTGTTTTAACTTAGTTTTTATTGGTTTATCTTAGTCCAGTGACTTGGATCATGGATTTAAAAAGTTAATTCAGGTTGACTTGGATTATTTTTTATTTTTTAATTAATTTTTTTAATCTCATATTTCAAGATTGTGCTTATTGAAAATCAAATTTTATAATTTTTTCATGTAATTGTTATAATTTTATGATTTAGTATGCGACTTGACAAGTTAACATAAGTTAATTTAAATCAAGTATATTATTGTTTTAATGTTTATTAAACAATTTAATTTAAAAAATTTATTTTAATTTACAGTATATTTTTATTAATTATTCATGCTACTTTTTAACTTGGAAGGATATCATAGTTTTATCAAACAGTTTTTACATTTTTTAATTTTTTATATTAGAAAAAATATTACTGGCGTCAGAATATTATTTTATATTAAAAAAATAATTTTACCCGCACTTACCTCGAGAGAATTATCCAGCGAGCGAATATATCGCAATCCAAAATGTCTAAGCCACGTGGAGTGATGATTTAACGCTGAGAAACGACAAAAAGTCTCAGAGCCCGTTTGGCTCTGCGGTTGCAGCTGTGTTTTTATTTAAAACACAGCTGCAGCTGTTCGGTTAGAAAAAATGAAGGGATACTATTCACTGAATCCCATATTTTTTCTACATTAAAAACACAAAATTTGAAAAGCAAGAATTACTTATTTTTTTCACTGTTCACGCAATTGCACTGTTCATTGAACAGCGCAATTGCGTAAACAATGCAAAGTGGTGCACCGTTCAAGTGAAACAGTGCAAGAGAATTGCACTGTTCACTTTAAAATAGTGAACAGTGCAATTCTCTTGCACTGTTCACTGCGTGGATATATATATATATATATATATTTATAAAAAAAGACACTTTAACAGGGTTATTAGTCTAATCTTAGAAACAAAAAGAACCTTGGTTGGTTGGAAGGGAGGACTATATCCTATCATTTGTATTTGCACAGTCGAAATATCTCATTACCCTTGGGTTTTAGTCTTTTATATCTTGGATTTAAGAGTATTTTTGTTACCTATAAGCAATATATGGTAAATCTGCAAGGGTTAATTTTTTATTTCAATAAATTAAAGGGATTAAAAAAATATTAAAGAGTGCCAATTACTCCATCATTATTAGATGATACATGCGGTTAATTCCAGCAACTAAGTATGCTATTTTAGAGCATCATTAAATTTATCCTAGTTTTACCTTTACATTGAAATAACACATATAGAAAATAAAGCTCTGGTTTAGATTTGATGGATATTTCTTTTTCTTTTTTCTTTTTTCTCCTCAAGCCTTTACCATCATTTTGTTTTTTATTGTTCTTGATCTTTTGGCTCATATTTGTTTTATTTCAAATAACCTATGAAAATCAGAACTTACTTAATTTCTTTCTCGTTTTATTTTTTTATCTTTTTTTTATGGTTTTTGATTTGTTTATTAATATTTATTTTATTTACAATAACTTGTGAGAATTGAAAGTTGTTTTAATTTTATCCTCCTTTGATTATTTAAATTTATCTTGTTTAAACCTCCCTTTATTAATTGTTATTTATGCCATTTAAAATAATATGTATAATGTAACTTTTTTAGTAATTTCACAATTAATCATTTTTTTACTATCAAATTTTATCTTTATTGTTTTTTTTTTTGCTTTGCTAATTTATTTTAGTTTTTCTTTAAAATTAATTTTATTATTTAACAATAAATTAATTTAGATTTAAGCTTATTAATTAACCCCATTTTAGAATTTGAAGGATTTCAATTTAAAAAACTAACACAGTTTAAACATAGAGATTGCCTTTTACTTTTATTGTTCTTCTAGTCTAGTTTTTTTTTTTAGCTTTTATCATTTGATTTTTTATTTTATCGTGGACTAAGCTTATTGTTTTTTTTATATGTCTTTTACATCCTTTGTTTGTTTTTTGTTTTTTTAGTTGGGTTATCTAGATCTTTTTATATTTTATTTTTTAGATATATTATTTTTAATTAAATACAATTTATTGGTTAATATAAATAGATACCCACTTCATGGTATTTTGTTCGATTTACATTTACAAGGCATTGTTCTAGTGAACCATACAACTTATTTTGATGTCATCCAGTATCTTTTTGCAATTGAGTTTAAACTAACCTAACAACCTCTTTTTATCGTGGATAATGTTCATAGTTGAGTGGCGGCGAGTCTCAGATGATCATTTTTTTTTTCTCATTACAAATATGATATCAATAACTTTTTTTAACCATCGACAAATTTTTTTATGACTTGTTTTCTGTTATTTCTCTTGATTTAAATCAGGTTATTAAATTTATCAATTTTATTATATATAGTTAAGTTAATGATCCGAGTATTAGGTTTTTCTTATTTATTTCAAAACACAATCACCCTGCAATGTAGTTCAGGTTCACTTTCCACACTTGTTTGTTATTATGATAGTAATTGATTTTTAAAGTGTTTTTTAATTAAAAACATATTAAAATAATATTTTTTAATTTTTTCTATACAAATACAACAAAATAATTTAAAAACATAAAAAAATAATTTTAAAAAAATATTTCTCTTATTTTTTTTAAAATGTAAAAATAAGGCTATTAATTCTATAACAAACTAAGGTAAAATTCTGTGTACTGATGTAAGTATCAGAATAACCACTCAAAAAAATAAAATAAAACAAACTAAGGTAAAATTCTGTGTACTGATTATTTAAATTTTATTAGAAATATATAAATTTTATTTTGTTTGTCCTACGTCGATCCTAGTAAATCCGGCTTACGTCCTCTGATTCACATCACCCTATGAATCTTGCAAGAAAAAAAGAAAAGAAAAGAAATTCCAAAACAAACATAAATAAAAATTCAATACCTAAAATAACTGAAAAAAATGAAAAGAGAGAGAGAGAGAGACCGATCTAAAATAATAAAACGCCCCCGTCTTCTCCATCTTCCTTATTTTGTATTCTACCTTTCTTCTTCTGTTTGTATTCGCTCCGTTCTCTTCTCCCCTCCTGCATACAAAGACAAAACAATCCAAGAAAACTGGATAACCAAACAAGAAACCGATAAAAAAAAAATCACAAAAATGATATTCTCTTGAAAGAAAAAGGAAACAAAAGGAGATAAATTAGGAATTTCAAGATTCTTCTCCAACTAGTTAATTAATTTTCAGATATAATGTCGACGCCATTTTCTGGTATAGACGGAGGGGGAGCAGGAGGAGTAGCGGTAATGGCAGGTCCAGTGAATCCAATCGATCCTTCTGCACCGTCTAAAACTTGCCTAAAAAATTCTGCTTTGAAATCTCCGATTCTTATCTTCCTTTTCTTCCATAAAGCTATTAGGTCCGAGCTCGACGGTCTCCACCGCGCCGCAATCGCTTTTGCCACTACTGGTGGTGATATTAAGCCGTTACTTGAGCGCTACCACCTTTTTCGCTCCATATACAAGCATCACTGCAATGCTGAGGACGAGGTTGGTTTAACTAATTTTTGTTTCAGATTTGTTGATTTTGAGGCTTTGATTGATTTTTGTATACCGAGTTTGTTCAGCTCAGTTTGCTTTTTCAGTTTTCAATTATGTAGCAGATTCTGTGCGTGTTAGTGTATTTGCAATCGATTAATTGGAGTTTTGGAGGTTTCTAGGGATATGCAAATGAATTTGCTTTCTATTTAATTTGCCATTTTGATGATGATTTTGTGTGATTATTGCTTAAGTTTTCTTAGTTTCGTTAATCGTGGTAATCTGAGTTGCTTGTTTTGGATTGGTTGAGAGTGTGCTTTGTTTTTCGCTGTAGTCGTAGACAGGACCAGTTGAAGGTTTGTGCATGTTTGCATTGATACATATGGATAGTATCTCTATACCTTGATACTAGCATGGTGGTGCTAAATATTTTTTCTTCTTGCAAAACAAGGTTCGGAAGGATCTGAATCGCCAATAGCAATAGCAGTTCATTACGTGGCTTTGTGATTGAATTACATGTGATAGCTTTGATTAAGGCTTTACCGGATTGTTAAGAATGAGCACGTATTGTTGGGCCTATTAGTTTCCTAAACACCAGGTTTTAGAGGAGATCAAGTACCATGTGCCTTGAATTCATGTTGTCTTGCTGGAATATAATTAAAATTTCTCTTTTGTTATATAATTTGGCGGGACTTCGAACTATCATTTCTTCTGGAATTACTTGATCACATATAGGGTAATATTTACTCTCTTTTCCTTTTCTTTTTCTGTCTTCAGTGCACCCAATGACATTTTCCATCAGAGTTTAAAATTTTCTTTCGTTGCTTGATCAAAGTGCATATCCTCATTTCCAACTTAAATGTTGAATTTCAGATTTACAGGGTCAAATCTTTTGAGTCATGAGAAGCTTTTAACCGTCTTGTTGTTTATGCACACTTTAGTTGGATTTGCAGATTGAATTTTGTCTATTGGGAAGACATTGTCGGTGAGTCACCACATGCAATTTAGCCTCAAAAAGGCATGATACTGCCACAACATAATATGAGACGCTTACACTGTTTTTGTAACATCCATCACATGTTTATGGCAAGACCCTCTCAAATGCTAGGAAACTGAGACATCAGATTATACTTCAACTGTCACCACTCATGGTCTTTGGTCATTAGATTAATCATCACATGGTAGATTATGGATTCCATATGTTTTTTCAGGTACTTAATTTTCTGCCTGTCTTGATTGTGGTATGCATTGTTCGTTATAATCAATTCACATTATTTCAGATATATTCTTTTTTCCCTTTCTATCTGGATTCTTTTCTCAAGGTACCAGTTTTTGAATTAGCATTGCATTTATACTCTTGTCCCTCCTTTCTTAAGTTATAGAGTATTCCATCATGTATCTAGCTTTGCCTGATGATTATTTTTATACTGATAATTTTGGGGTTGAGAGCTATTTGTATCAATATAAGCTGGTGGGGGCATCTGACACAAAACAAAATAAAGCTGGCAAGAGTTTAGAAGTTACAGATATTATAAGCATGTAAAACTTTTGCCAAATGGAGAAGATTGAGAGGGTAAGATAATCTGATAATCATTGTTTCTGCACAACAGTAATATCAGCCATCTTTCTCTAATTAATTTAGCTGTGAAATATCTTTATAATATATTATGATCTCTGAACTGAAAACTTATCATGGAATTTATCACAGGTTGATCTAGATATTATTATATGAAGTGTGATGAATGAAAAGGGTATATTTTGGAGAAATCTGCCACTTGATCTTGCAAGAAATACTAGTATTGTAGCTTTTCGTAGAAATGGTTTTGTCAAATAACGGTATAAATTTTCTTTTCCACATGTTTGGCTATAGTATAAGCTTTAAAATCCTGATGCATTTCCTGTTCACGATACAGTACAAAGTGAAATGGGAATTAGACAATTGTTGCTGTAGTTTCATGCTTCTACTCTTTATCCTTAAACTGACCGAAGGTAGAAAGTGCTGTCAGAAACAACTGTGGCATGGATTTCCATAGTCATCTGTCAATTGGAATTTGTTAGTCTGATCAGATCAATCAGTATTGGAAAGCATCAGTGCTTTTGTAGGTCTATAATATCTGAAAAATCTAGAAAACAATGTGTCCTGGGAACGTGTATTGAAACACACAGGACTGGTATTTGGAATGTTGATGTGGTCAATTATTTTTTGTTCCCTAGGAGGCCCATCAGGTCTTGCGCTGCTCAATGGTGTATAATCCCTTTCTTTTAACCTCTCTCATTCTTGATGTGACTGCGATTCAATGGCTGGCTGTTTTGGATTATGCATGTGTCTTTATAGTTAGGTAGCATCCACTAGTTAAAACAAGCATTTGTGGGCAATAAATCCCGTGTATAAAAAGTCAGTGCTACTATTTTCACATGGATTTTTAAGGTCTCTGCTATCTATTTTTGAGAGAATCATAATTCATAACATGATGAAGCAATTAATGTGATAAATGATGTTACCAGCCACAAATTTCGTGCTTGAAAATGGATTATTTCCCTGTTCTTTGGGTTTAGCTTATACACAATTAGCTGAGGATTCTGACAGTATGTTTTCTGTGACTGGAGGTTATTTTTCCTGCTCTTGATATACGTGTGAAGAATGTAGCACGGACTTACTCCCTTGAACATGAGGGGGAGAGTGTCCTGTTCGATCAATTATTTGAGCTGCTCAATTCAAATATGAAAAATGAAGAAAGCTATCGGAGAGAGTTGGCCTCTCGTACAGGAGCCCTTCAAACATCAATTGACCAACATATGTCCAAGGAAGAGGAACAGGTATTCTTTTTTATCAGTTGTGCAAGGATAGCTTTTCATTTTCTCATGATAGGTTTAAGGGAATTTAAACTTGTTCCCCCTATTCTCTTAATCTGTATCTTTTAACCGCACATGATGTGCAGAGCTTTCTTTAGCTTTAAACAGTTTAGGAAAAAAAATGATAAATAGATTCTGCAGGTGCAGGGGGATTGTAACAACATGTAGATTGTAGAGTTTCAGACGTAGTAATGAATGATTGACTAAACTAGAGAACAAGAAGATATTAAAAATATCGACTAACAATCAGAAATGTATATTTCAACTTGAAATAAATCTGTGTCAACACAACTATTTCAGAAGAATCTGCAAGGTGCAACGAAATTCTGTGCATGTTTGAACATTGATATTGATTTTCCTCCAACACATTAAACATGAATACCTACTAGTTCTTTAAGCTATCAAGCATTCCTTGCTCTGAGAGTTGTCTCCGTTTCAGCATATGACTAATGTGCTTCAGTATCCACTCCAGTTGATAGAAGTTACGATCAACACACAATGAAAGATGTGTTTCTAGTCTTTATGCACTGCCATTGGTTATAAAAATGCAGAGAGGGAGGCTAACAGTGCTTCAGTCACATGACATTTGATCTGCATGAAGTGAAGTCCATCCTTTTCGTTTCAGTTGTTCAATAATATTTCCCCCCAAGTTTAACAGGAAAAAGGGGGACAATGCAGGCTATAAGTTCCAATAGCAAATTGCCAGCTCCAGCATCCTTTTTATACAAGATATATATGGTTTTGGCATGTATATTGTGACACTACATCTTATCCTCCACAAGGATTTCCCTGAGGAATAGAGTGCACATCTGCATTGCTCAAGGGAAGACTTCTGAATAGATATTCTAGAAATAAGTAGGTTTGTCTTTGTCTTTCAGATTTTTCTATGTGCAACAAATTATTACTGCTCAGGGTGAGCTGACAGTGAACAAGGTGCTCTCTGAGTTTTTGAATCCATGCCATTGAGACTTCTCTTTCTAACTGGCAATTATATTTCACAAATAATTCATTAGGAGTTTGATACACCCAGTCAAAAATAAATTCGAATTTCACCAGCTTGTTGTTGGTCATGGCAGGTCTTTCCCTTGCTAATCGAGAAGTTTTCATTTGAAGAGCAGGCCTCATTGGCATGGCAGTTTCTGTGCAGCATTCCTGTTAATATGATGGCAGAGTTTCTTCCTTGGCTTTCTTCCTCTATATCATCTGATGAACATCAGGATATGCACAAGTGCTTGTGTAAGATAATCCCAGAAGAGAAACTTCTTCGGCAGGTGAGGATATATTTGGCAGTTAATTTTTTTTGGATGGACTTGAACAAGCTGACTCAAACTTCTATTGATGAAGGTTATTTTCTCCTGGATGAAAGGGGCAAAATTGTCTGAAACGTGTAAGAGCTGTGAAGATAATTCTAAGGCCTGGTGTCAAGATTCAGGAGCGCCAACTTTAGGGTCTCAAAGCATGCAAGGAAACTGTGCATGTGAATCTTCTAGAATGGGTAAAAGGAAATATATGGAGCTAAATTGTGATGCCACCCTTTCCACTGAATTCCATCCAATAGATGAAATTCTGCTTTGGCACAATGCCATTAAAAGAGAGTTGAATGATATAACTGAGGCAGCTAGGAGCATCCAGCATTCTGGTGATTTTTCTAATCTGTCTTCATTCAACAAGAGGCTGCAATTCATTGCGGAAGTTTGCATCTTTCACAGGTGCAGTTATTTTTGTCTTTCCATATTATGTCCTTATAACATTGTTTAAGTGCAGCAACTTGTTTGTTTCATCAGTAGTGCGTTGATGTAACTTTCTTCATGCCTAAAGATAAGTATTTGGGGTGATTAGTCCTTCATAGTACAGTCCACTGCATGACTTATGCATTCTACCTCTTGTCAGTCTTTTGAATCCTTAGTTGTGTTGTCTTTTTAGAAAACCCTTCTCCTCAGTAAAGTATGGAAGCTTTTGAATGGTCAAATCTCCTCAAATTGCTCTTCTTTAAAGGCAGTTGAACTTCTTGGACCTTTCCTTTTCCTTTCAGTGCCTTCAGAGGACCCAAAGACAAGCATAATAGAAAGAGAACATGAATATTATTTTTGTCTTGTTATCAAACTTATGACCACTTGATATTTTTGAAATGTGTTTTTTGTTTTCTATGACTGCAGTTTTGCCGAGGACAAAATTATATTCCCTGCTGTAGATGCGGAACTCTCTTTTGCCCACGAGCATGCAGAAGAAGAGGTTCAGTTTGACAAGCTTAGGTGCCTGATAGAAAGTATTCAAAATGCTGGAGCCTACACATCCCTTACTGATTTCTACACAAAGCTGTGCTCCCAAGCTGATCAAATCATGGACAACATACAGAAACACTTCCAAAATGAGGAAGTTCAGGTAAGAATATTGCTGCATCACTGCAGAACTTGTCTTCCCTACAGAGATGATTTTCTATTTCCTGCATTCTCTAACCAAACAAGAAGAAAAGGAAAGAAAAGAAAGACAGCTTAAAAATGTCACCTGCATATTGGTTGAGATTTAAAATCAACAGCCATTAACTCTTGGCTTTTGCTAGCTTGGCAAGCCATCTGACATGTCTATTGCATTGCTAGGTTCTTCCACTCGCTCGAAAGCACTTTAGTGCCAAAAGACAGCGTGAACTTCTTTATCAAAGCTTATGTGTGATGCCCTTGAAATTGATTGAAGGTGTCTTACCGTGGTTGGTAGGGTCACTTAGTGAAGAAGCAGCGAGGTCTTTTCTTCAAAATATGTACATGGCAGGTTCAGAGCCAATTCACCACCTCTCCTTTTTATTGATACTCTTTATATCTTTATGACATTTTATAGAGGGTTTGCCACTCCGGTATTCATGCTACCAGTGCTTCATATCTGTCAAGTTCTAACTTGCAGTGTGATCTTTTGCAGCTCCAGCTTCAGATTCTGCACTGGTTACACTTTTTTCTGGTTGGGCATGCAAGGGTGGTTCTAAAAATGTTTGTTTGTCTTCAAGTGTTATTGGTTGTTGTCCGGTGAGAATCTTGGCTGGGACCGAGGAAGATACTAAACAGCAGTCCTGTGAGTGCAACCCTAGGTCATCTGTTGATGAGAAGTCTTCCTTTGTCCAAGTAGATGGAGCTGATGACTGTAGAAGGCCAGGGAAACGTGGAAACTTGTTAGCTCAGGAAGACAGCAATGCTTGTCCCTCTTCAGAGCCTGTTGATACCCAAAAATCATCTTGTAGCAATAAATCTTGCTGTGTCCCTGGGTTAGGAGTAAGTAGCAACAATCTAGGAATTAGTTCTCTTGCTGCAGCTAAATCTCTACGCTCATCTTTTAGTCCTTCTGCTCCTTCCCTTAACTCCAGCCTTTTTAACTGGGAAATGGACACGAGCCCCACGAATATTGGTTGCTCATCACGGCCTATTGATAACATATTTCAATTTCATAAAGCCATCCGCAAAGACCTGGAGTATTTAGATGTTGAATCTGGAAAACTAAACGAATGCAATGAAACTTTGCTTAGGCAGTTTACAGGTAGATTTCGTCTGCTGTGGGGTTTGTATAGAGCACATAGTAATGCAGAGGATGATATAGTATTCCCAGCATTAGAATCTAAAGAAACACTTCATAATGTTAGCCATTCTTACACTCTGGACCACAAGCAGGAGGAGAAATTATTTGAAGATATCTCATCTGCACTTTCAGAGCTCACCCAACTTCAAGACTACTTGAAGAATACAAATCATGCTGATGAATTAATTGGAAAGCATGCTAATTTGTCTGACTGTAACTATACAGTTAGACAGTATAATGAGCTTGCGACAAAGCTTCAGGGGATGTGCAAATCCATTAGAGTAACTCTGGATCAACATGTTTTCCGGGAAGAACTTGAGTTGTGGCCATTATTTGACAGGCATTTTTCCGTAGAGGAGCAGGACAAAATTGTTGGTCAAATAATTGGAACCACTGGTGCAGAGGTGCTTCAATCGATGTTGCCATGGGTAACGTCTGCTCTCACTCAGGAGGAGCAGAACAGGATGATGGACACATGGAAGCAGGCGACCAAAAACACAATGTTTAGTGAGTGGCTTAATGAATGGTGGGAAGGAACTTTTGCTGCAATGCCACATGCTACAACATCAGAGAGTTGTATATCACTAGGTTTCTGCAATCTTTTATTCGCACTATCAATTTATTTTTTATTTGCTGTTGAATGTGGCATAATTTGTGTGTGAATAAAGCTGCAAGCTTGAGACATTCTGAGATGTTTCTTGAAAGTAGCATTTTATTCTAGCTGGTATTAAAACATTTTAAAGATATATTTTTGTTATTTTATCTTTTATCTTTTTGTTTAGGTACTGATCTCCATGAAAGTCTGGATCAAAGTGATCATACATTTAAGCCTGGATGGAAAGATATTTTTCGGATGAATCAAAATGAGCTTGAAGCAGAGATTAGGAAAGTTTCTAGAGATTCAACTCTTGATCCAAGAAGAAAAGCTTACCTTATTCAAAATCTTATGACCAGGTTTGTTCATGCTGTGCAAACTTTCTGCAGTTTTCTGCATTACTATTCTTCTACTCGCTCTGATCAACATATTTGATTTTGTTAGCCGCTGGATAGCCGCACAGCAGAAGTCACCTCAAGCAAGAACTGGTGACCATTCAAATGGTGGAGACTTACTTGGATGTTCTCCTTCATTTCGAGGCCCAGAGAAACAAGAATTTGGGTGTGAGCATTACAAAAGAAATTGTAAACTACGTGCTACATGTTGTGGCAAGTTATTTGCGTGTAGGTTCTGCCATGATAAAGTCAGTGACCATTCGATGGATAGGTAACTTAGTGTTATTCAGTCATACTTGGTTTTGATTGGACTTTCTATTAACTTGATAGTATTTTATTCTGTACTTTCAGGAAGGCTACATCTGAAATGATGTGTATGCGCTGTCTGAAAATTCAGCCTGTTGGACCAGTTTGCACTTCTATTTCCTGTGGTGGGTTCTCAATGGCGAAGTACTATTGCAGCATCTGCAAATTTTTTGACGATGAAAGGTATTCAGATTAATTGATGCCAGAAAACATGAAAAAATATTGTGGTTCCTGGTTACGCGTAACCAGGTAGTACATTTCTGGATTTCAAATAGAAATGTGATGTACATTTTCTATCATTAATATATTCACTTGTTCTTCCAAAATCTATAACTTGCAATCTCTCTTGTAGTTTCTCTAGCTTGAAAATTCAACTTTTTCAACGATTATAATTACAAGGTGCATAAGAAGTCAGCTACATGTCTGGAATCGTATACCACAAGAAATATATTCGCACTTTACACTCTCTTCCATTTTAATTAATGGAATAATAATATTGATTGCAATGATAATTGACTGTAAATGACCTATTTTCCTTTTCATTTATTCTTTAAGCCATCGTGAGAAAGGTATAGGTCTAACTTAGCAAAGCAATTCAGTCATTTTGACTCTCCAATGGTCTTTAAATTCATGCAAGTAACTGTTTCTGAACTCATCCTTACTACTTGATTTCCTGTAATGCACTGAATTTATTTCAGGGCTGTTTATCATTGTCCTTTCTGCAATTTATGCCGTGTGGGTACTGGGCTTGGTGCTGACTTCTTTCATTGCATGAAGTGCAATTGTTGCCTGGCAATGAAACTAGCTGACCACAAATGTCGAGAGAAAGGTCTGGAAACAAATTGCCCAATCTGCTGCGACGACATGTTCACTTCAAGTGCAAGTGTCAAAGCTCTTCCTTGTGGCCATTTCATGCATTCAACCTGTTTTCAGGTCTTTTTTTTTTTTTACTGGTTTTGTCTGGTTATTGCCATTCCTTTATGTTTCAACTTTTTGCCTGTTTGCAGTGATATGGTAAGTTGTGTGCCTGGTACTTAATTCTGTTTGCACTTGATTGTGTCAGGCGTATACTTGTAGTCACTATATCTGCCCAATTTGCAGCAAATCTCTGGGAGACATGTCGGTAAGATAAAAATGATTCATCTTCTCAGTCTGTTCTTCTATGATGCTATTGTAGAGTGCCATCAAGGGAAGTGATGTTTAGAGTTGCACATGGCGTATTAATGAGGAATACTTCCAATATATTGAACATTTTTTTTTGTTGTTCCTTGAGTGAAATTTATTTTGTTGATCTGATCATAAAAAGTTATGATTACTTACGAGTATTGCCCATTGCCTAATTTATAGATCTTGTTAACCTCGCTACATCACTTATCCAAGTGTTGAGCATTTTTTTTGTTATTCCTAGAGTGAAATTTATTTTGTTGATCATAAAAATTTATTACCAAAAAAACTAAAAGCGATTAGTAAAACATTATAGCTTTAGTTTCACTGTGTGAAATGCCACTTTTACTCTTATCCTAAAAACTTAAAAATCTTACAATTAGGGATATCATTGTTTTTCTTTTTTTAGGAGATTCATTGGTCATTGTAAAATTGATTGAGGATAAATTAGCATGACATCTTTTTTTTTTTAATCACAGTAAAATAACTATTTTACTCTTTAAAGCAAAATAATGATAAGCTGTTGGTCAAAGGTTCTTGTCTTTTTTAAAACAATTGCATAGTTAAGTTATGATCATGCTCTTAGGAGAAAAAAAGTGAATATGCATAGAGAGGCTTCTTTGTCTTTTCTATTTTTTAAACAATTAAATAACAAAACTATCATTGAAATCCAAAAAAACTAAGGTTGGTTTCAAGGGTGTTTTAATGTTTTCTTTCTGTTTTTGTTTTTTTTTAATGTTTGGATTTAGTTAGGGGTTGTTTGATAATTTTAAATAATTAAATATTATTAAAAAAGTTGTTGATGTGTGCAACGCATGTGTCAGCGTGTGATAGCCTCCGCTCTTTTTGGGCGGCGCATGCGGGGCCTTACCGTTGCCAAAATCTTTAATCCGCGACGGTGTTGAGAGTGGTGAGTCATTCTTTTTCTGGCAGTGTGGCCTGTGCTCACGGTGAAGATTTGGTTAGACTAAGGTGGAGTTTTTTTTTTCTTTCCTCTCTTATGCCTTTGAAATTCACACCAGCCCTTTCATAAAACAATTGTATCCTCTAGTTTTTAATTTTATTGATTTTGTTTCCTATTGTTTTTATTACTATTTATTTTGCATTTGATGATGTTTTAAGTTTAGTTTTTTTTTCAATTTCATCTCTAGATATTTTATTCCATTTGATTTTTGTATTTAATTTGGTCCTCCTGGTTTTGATTGCTTTTTTCGTATTTTATACTTATCTTGATTAATTTTTTTTCAGTTCCATTCCTTACTATTTTATTGCATTTTTAATCCAATTTTGGTTTTCATTATTTTTATTGTTATTTTCTTATACTTTTCTTGATATATCTTTTTTTTTGCCTTTTACGTTTTATTTACTTTAGTTTTTTTATCCAATTTAGGTCCTTATTCTTTCAATTACTTTTTTTATATCATTTTTTAATTTATTTTGTTTTCTAATTTAGCCCCTAATTATTTTATTTCATTTTATTTTTATACCATGTTTGGTCCACATTGTTTGGGTTTAACATTGTTTTATAGTTAGAAATTCTACTTTGTTATGTTTTCATGACTATCTTCATACTTGGTAATTCCTGTCTTGTGACTTGGATCCAATTTAAGTTCAATTTTCTTGGGTCATTTATTAATTTTTTTTTTTCAAATTCATTATTTGACATTTGGTTACTAGTCCCTTAGCTTCTTTGTTTGTTCTACTTTTCTTTTGTTTAGTTATTTGATTTTATATCTCCGGTAAAATGTTAGTTGAATTAATTCGGGTTGACTCAAATTTTTTTTCTCAATGTTTCTTTATGAAATTGATTTTTTTTTTAATTTCATCATCATTTGACATTAAATTATTGGACCTTGAGCTTTGTGATTTTTTTACTTTTCTTTCTGTTGGGTTATTCTAAGTGCGGGTTAGTCAAGTTAGCCCAGATTGATTCTGGTTTTTAATATTTATTTATTCAACTTTTTTTTTTGCTAGGTCTTTTTTCTAGAAGTGTAGTTTTTTTTATTCTAATCATATGTCGCTGGTGGTAGGTTGATCGAGTTAATTCATGTTGATTTGAATTTTTTTTTCTTGATTTTTTTTTTATTTTATCATTTGACATTAAATTATTGGGCCTTGAGCTTTGTTATTTTTTTAGGTTATCTTGAGAGCGAGTTAGTAAAGTTAACATAGATTAACTCGATTTTGTTTTAGCATTGGTCTTTTTTTACTAGGTCCTTTTGAAATTCTTATTTTTTTTTTTTTGTATCCTAATCTCATATCACAGGTTAGTTAGGTTTGTCCGAGTTGACTTGTGTTTTTTTTTTATGTTATATTTTTTGAACTTGTTTTTTTTTAATTCTTTGTCCGAGTTGACTTGTGTTTTTTTTTTTTGATGTTATATTTTTTGAAATTGTTTTTTTTTTAATCCTTTAATATTAAGTTATTAGGCCTTGAACTTTGCAATTTCTTTAAGTTTTTTTTTTTTTTTTTGTCTGTGAGTTATTTCAATTTTATATCTCATATTATGTGCTAATAAAATTAACTTGGGTTTGCTTGAATTGTCATTGCCTTGGCATCTTTTTTTTACATTAGAAAACATCTGACCCAATCCATGGTGTAGCATAAGCCTATTTAATGAATACTTACAAGCACTGCCCGTTGCCTCATTGCTAGATCTTATTAACCTGCTACTCTTCTTCCCCAGGTATTAAAACTAAATGGTTGGTGTGATCTTTTCTTTACCTTTTTAAAATTCAAACGGAGTTCAGTAAATTATTTAAACAATTCCTGATAACAAATAAAGAAAAAGGGATAATGAGAATTTACATGTTCATAACACAGTAATGACAGTCTAGAAAAAGTTTTTGGCTTCTTTGTTATATTTTTTAAACAACCGTATGAGACTTGGTTTTGTTTGACTAGGTTAGAATTTTGCCTTGTTGTTCGAATGAGGGGCCATCGCAGGTTCCTGCCTGTTCATAATATTTGCTTTGTTCGTTGTGATACTTATTTGGTGCTAGATGTGCAGTCTTGTTATTTGAATGAATAGTACTTGAAAGAATAGTATGGCGGTATGCTTGTTACTTGGACTGTTCTGCCCGCTTGCATTTTCCTACAGAATGGACAAACCAAATCCTTCTAATCCAACTTCTAGAGAGATATGCTTCCCAGCAATCCTCAACTAGCAGGCTGCTAAGAATTAGACATCGCATACAGGGATCTTTTCAGTTACCCTCTATATAGTTGCTAAGGAAGCTAGAGGAAATGAATAGATTATAAAATTGAAATTCAGCATTCTAGATATTGTAATCAGATCTGAAAAACACCTGAATTGCCGTAATGGTTGCAGGAGATAACTGAGCTATTCTTTTGGACAAAAAATGAACTTGAAATAATATTTTTCATAAAAATTAACTTCAGAGGCATACCCATATCTGCATTCTATTGAAGTATGCCATTGAAATGTAAATGAAAACTTATTTTAGAATGCAGTGGGAATGATTGTTCATGTCCGTATTATGTACTGAGGATGAAATAATGATGAAGTGTATTAAACGCTTCTGAAGGCTTTGTTCTTTTCGTGCAGGTTTACTTTGGTATGCTTGATGCACTACTGGCTTCTGAGGAGCTTCCAGAAGAGTACCGGGATCGCTGTCAGGTAATTATCCAAACTTTCCTTTTAGCATAATCACCCTTCAAGGAATACTAAGACTGATTTCGTTGATGCAGGATATATTGTGCAATGACTGTGACAAGAAGGGCACAGCACCGTTTCACTGGCTATACCACAAGTGTAGGTTTTGTGGATCATACAATACCAGGGTAATTAAGGTTGATTCAAACTGCTCAACTTCAAACCAGTGAGGGCATATGGCCCTCCCATGTAAGCACTCCTTGGCGCCAATCAATCACATCGGTTTGTAAATGACATGCCATTACAAAAGTCAGTTTCATTTTACAATTTTTTTCCTCGGCTGTATTATTTTCAGCTCGCGGGGGCATGAGTGCCATGCCATTGGCTCGCCCAGATGAAAGTGTTTCTAAAGAAGTGTATAGGAAAATCGAAAAAATTTTGTTTTGGTTGCTGAGTTTAGCCGAGTTGCCTTGTGAAATTTTACGGTCCTCGATTTTATAAGCTGTGTTATGGGCCATGACTGTTGATCTTCATTTCAGTCGCTTAGAAATCTTAGAATGCATAAATGGGCACCCTGAGATTTTCTTGAGAAATCCCTTGGGATTGCTTCACATTGGATGTTTAAACTTTTTAGCTATTCGTTGTCGTGTTAGGGAGGGTTGGATGGAAGAAATGCACTTGATCAAATCACAAGCACAAACAGGTGAAGCACACTTTCTGGGTTGTATAAGGAGAATGTGACTCGGCCAGCGCACAACGGTTGAAAGCACCTGTTATACTTGTACCTACCTTACACCTGAAGAATTTGACACGGCCAGTGCATAACCGTGTTTAGTCTCGCTCCAGCTAACCTGTCGTTGTCTAGTGGCTGGTGGATTGCTAATGATCGAGATTCATCTTTCAATTTTCTCTCTTACCAGACGGGGAACAAAAAGGAAAACTAATTCATGTGGTTGCCGAATTCGGCACCCCAACGATCATCTGGCTCTGAGGTTTGTATGGAACAGAGACAAATATGTTTTGCCTTGACCAAAACCAAATAGCACCTAGCTTGGTCAAGGCAATCATGTTTTGCTGAATTCATCCCCGGTGCGTGTCACCTCGATGCCTTATCCGAACAAGACCTCTCATCAATTATGAAATTTCTGTAACCACAAAAATCATCTATAAAAACAATCATCTGGCACCATCAAAACTCCAAGGATTCCCCATCTTGTTTTCTATGAAATTACAGGGTCCATTAGCGCATGTTGAAATATATTGCACTCCTAACTCTTGCAAGTTTTTTTTGGTTAGAATCGTTTGCTTAGGGATGATGAACTCAAGTTTGATTGTTTGAAATTTTGAAAATTCGACTAAAATTTGAAACGTGGAGTTTAAATCTGTACTGTGCCATCTCTCTCTCTTTATTGTTAGTCGAGTTTTAAATCGTGGAATCATCATCTTGATTGACAAAGGTGCACACGCTTGACTACACAAGTTCGTAAAATTATCAAATTGGTAATTTTGAAGCAAGCATTGGAGAGTATGATTTTAATATCTTATGTTAAAAAAATTATTTTAATATATTTTTAAATAAAATATATTTTAAAAAAATATTATATACCACAACATTATAAATTCATATATTATGTTAGAGATGCATTGCCATAATTTTTAATTATTGATATTTTTTTATAAAGTAAAGACATCAAATTTAAGTTTATTTTTTATATCAAATAAGTGTATTATTATTATTATTGCTACTATAACAGCAACATAATATATGTGCAATATCACACGTGTAACCGAAGGAGGCTTGAAAGAGTTGAGGGTGATTCACCAAAAACATCAACTTGAAAGAAAGAATAAAATAAATAACATTAAAAAAAAATTCACTATATATATTCACCCATCCTTCTATTTATCTACATAATGAAGGTTAGAGAAGGGTGGATAAAAATGCTACATAAACGATTATTGAACTAGAGTTTTAATGCGAGAAACTAGGTAAACACGAAACAATTGAACCGGAGAAAACTTGCATTATTTTCACCAACAGCTTGAACCAAAAAAAAAAAAAAACCTTTAATAATATATCTATCATTGCTGATTGTTTCTGCTCCCGCTAATTAAGAGTTCATAAATTGTCCATAACCTACAATATGTAAATACATTGCATATTTAGTACAATCTGTATCTCGAGGTTTCTAAGTCATGGAAGTGTATGTTACCGCCACAGTTCCATTGATGTGACGAGAAAAAAAAAGAGCCGAATGCGTGTTACCGCCACAGTTCCATTGATGTGACAAGAGAAAAAAAAAGAGCCGAATGCGTGTGATCCAGCTTGCCTGGACTCAGCCTAGGTGAGTAACGAGTCCGCTCGCCTGGGCTGAAGATGGGTTGCTTGTCTGGTTAGTGTAGGTATTTGAGCATGCTCTTAGGTGCAGCCCGGTAACGGAAAAATTCACATTTTTTTATGTGTTTTATATATATATATATTGTGTAAATATTTTATATATTTTTCTATGTATAATAATATTTTATATATTTTTCTATGTATAATCTCATATAGGTTTTTGTTTTCTTTAGCGCAAAATCTTATGGTACCTGTCTTCGTGCCAATATGAGAAATGCGGTTAATTGATACCGTTATCTAAATTAATAAAACTTGTATTTTATTATTTCACAAAAATCTTTTCATACAATGAGTTACAAATAGCCGTTTCACTCTATGTCTAGCCTTTTTCCTTAAGAAAGGTAGAAGTAATCTGCGTAACAATATTTTTTTTTTTATATAAGAATTCATGGGCTAGAGCAAGGTAAGCGATCTGGGAGTCATAAAAAGAAACACCATTCATCTTCTTTAATTTTTTAGCTCTCTTAACAACTTTAACACAAAACTTAAATTGATTTAAGTATTATAATTTTTGTCTTGTAAGCGATCCTAACTACAAAAATATAAATACAGTAAATTATCAGCCAGGAAAAAATCAGAGATTCATTAAAGTATTTATCTAATTTATCAGAAATAAAAAATTTCATGTTGTAATATTAATTAAAATATTTTAAAATAACTTGATATTTTAACACACGTATTTTTTAAAACTCCAATCTGCAATATTATTCTAAGAAGTTGAGAATAATTTAAAATTCCAACACACACATTGCGCATATCAAGTACACTTACATACAATTTTGAAAAATATTTTTATCGAGCTTTAATCACTGTTTGATTTTAGAAAAATATTTTTATCGAGCTTTAATCACTCAATGATGTTTGATTTTTTTTTTTTTATCAAACTAATCTTAGATTTGTAAATGAGGAGAAAACTAAAAAGCCATAATCTGGTAGATATTAGCCAGTTAGGGTGTTAATGTTGCATATCCATGAGCGAGCTCCTTGTACATTCTTCTTGTTTCTTTTTATTTAAAAAATTAGCGAAGACTTATGAGGATCAAACTCTTAATCCGAAAGGTACTATAATATTAAACGAAATAAAGAAAGAAATAGTAGCTAGGGAAGAGAAATTATAAATATATAATAATATTCTAGCTGTAAGAGTGTTTTCTCGGACATTAAATTATTAATAATAATAATAATATTTTTTTAATATTTTCAAAATTTTGAATTGACTGAGTTCGCATCACGTAGGTAAAGTGTTATAAAATTATATAATTTTTCCCTTCAACACGCTGATTTATTTATACAATGGAAAGTAAAAAGAAAAGAGAAAGGGCAAAAAAATCAGGCAGCTGAAAATACGCTGGGACACAAAAAAAGAAAAATGAAAAAGTAGAAGAAGAAATGAAAGAGAGGAACAGAGAGCAAAAGGGGTCTTCTCTCAAGCCAAACGACTCAAACCTCTCTCTCCCCCCGATATAATAATCTGTAAGTTTTCAAAAACCCTAGCTGCTGCTTTGCTCCCTTCAAAAGTATCTGGATCTTGTAGTTTGAATTATTTTTATATTATAATTTGAAACTGGCAATTTCGCTTTTGTTTTCCTCGAGAAAGAAACTAATCAGGGATCCAAAACTTGATTGAATTCTGTGGTTCTTCTTCTTCTTCTTCTTATTATTATTATTATTAATTAGGTTTTTTCTGATTCAAAGCAGATTAAATAAATCTCTATCTCTCGTGACAGTTTTTGCATTTAATTTTTAGAGGAGAAGAAAAGACCTTCTGAAAAGAGGAACTGGGAAGAGAGATGGGTTCGAAGAAGACAGACATTACATCAGCACCGCCAATACTTCGAAGAGATCCATATGAAGTATTGTCGGTATCAAGGGATTCTACCGATCAGGAGATTAAAACTGCTTATAGAAAACTTGCTCTCAAGTAAGTTCTTTCCTTATTGCTGCCTTACTATTGATTTTTTTGGGGGTTGCGTGTTGTATCCGACTTCTTTTTGCTTATGGGCTCTGCTAGTTTTCGATTTCAGAGTCTAAGTTTGTTTCCTTAGTGCTCTTATTTATTAGCTGAATCGGGTTTCATTGATCAGCTCTATACAATTTTACTCGACTGAATATGTTTTCGGGTCAGTGTTCGTATCCCTTGATTAAGTGAGAAATTTGGAATTGGTACTTGGAAACTGATTTCTAAACAGTGCAATCTCAGCAGTTTTTGGATAGATAGCATGTCAGTGAGCTGGAATTTTATTTTAAGCATGTGAATAGCTTGAATAATCTTGTGAGTATGATGCACTTGTTTTGTTTGCGGACTGTCTGGTGTACTGCGGGAGTCATTATGTTCCCAACTGTGTTCTACTTATATTCCTCTGCTATCATCCAAAACGTGCTTGGTAGATGCAGACCATCAATTTGATTAAAAGTGGAAAATTGAGGTCAATGAATTTGATGAAATTACTTGCACTTCGGTAGGTTGTAAGTAGAAGGCTGGGAAGTTAATGGAAGCTTTGGTTCCTTCTGTCTAATTAAGGAAATGGAAGCTTGAGTTCAAGAAGAAAAAATTCTTTGAAAAAGATTCCTTGCTTCCTTTCTTGTTTTTAACCCTAGGATGTGTAGCCCTTCTCCAAACCAGTTTCTTCCTTTGATTTTCCATCCCAGAAAATGAACCCAGGTTACAGATGTTCCTCTTATTATTATTATTATTATCTTCTACTAAATGAAGTACAAGGCTGTTTTTAACGGTAAAATGTCTGGGTTTAGAAATTGCACATCTTGGAACTGGTTGTTATGTTTTCCAGATATGTTCAAAATTGAGTTCCATTCAATCGCCATTTTGAAGCCATATATCCACATGACATAAACAAAATAAAATGATAATACACAAGTCCTTTGCCATCAGTTTTGTTATGGCTTTTTCTTTTTCTTTTGTCCTTTATGCTCTATAAAATGTAATAATGAAAACATGAATTGGATAATAAAGAGAATTTAGCTATTTCACCATCAAATCCTTTCTTATTATTCTTTTTGTAGACAAGTCAAGTTAATTTATTTTTGGCAAATTCCATATATTCTTCTCTTTTGCATGATCTTTCATGCTCATTGTATAACATCCCATTTTTGTTGTGGGGTAATCATTTGTTCAATGACAAGGTTGTTGGTCAATTTTTAAGTCAATTTGTGTACAAGCTTATGGTCACTAAGGAATAAGTTTTGGACAGATATCATCCAGATAAAAATGCCAGTAATCCTGAAGCTTCGGAACTTTTCAAGGAGGTTGCATATTCCTACAGTATACTCTCTGACCCTGAGAAGAGAAGGCAATATGACAGTGCAGGGTTTGAGGTGCCTTTTCCCAGCTATCTCTCATTCTCTCTTGCTCCCTCTCTGTAATTCCATATTACATTTTTAGTGCACGATTTTTAGGGCTCCATGTGAAAAGTGATACTGGTTGGTGTAGCTTGAGGGTCTATTCTGTGCAGTTCGCTGGAATTTCCCTTTGGGAGTTATAAAAGACAGCAATCAGGATAACTATGGCACACTTAATAAAGTGTTGAAAGTACCAAAAATATGAATGGCCAGTGAAACATAAAAGATAATATAAATAGAGGTGTAGCACCTTGACAACTAAACTTAGTAATAGCTTTCTTTTGGCCATATTTTTGCTGTTCCACATTCTGTCTGTCTGGTTATGAGGAATGTTGGGGCATTCATTTACTTTGTCTTTCTAATTCTGAATAGTTGCATTTTTTTTAATACATAATGTCACATGTTGGCCCTCTCTATAGTTAAGTTATTAATTTGTCAATTCATAGAAGCTGGAATGACTTTTGATCTTATTTGCTTTCTTCTCTTCGTGTTTGCAAATTATATGTTTTATCGATGACACATCGTAATTTTTTGGACTTCTATAATTATTTCTAATCAGGCTTTGGATGTTGAAAGCATGGACATGGAAATTGATTTGTCTAATCTGGGAACTGTCAATACAGTGTTTGCTGCATTATTCAGGTGATTTGAGTTGGAAGTATTTGGATTTTTTTTCTTAAAGAAAACTTTTTTTAAACTTCTTATTTGGTTGTTTATAGCAAGCTTGGTGTCCCTATCAAGACTACAATTTCTGCAAATGTTCTTGAAGAAGCTCTTAATGGAACTGTCACAGTCAGACCCCTCCCTGTCGGCACATCAGTTAGTGGGAAGGTACTTGTTACATTTATGACTGATATAAGTTATAATTATACTCTTTCTTTTTTGTTGATGTATTTGATCGTAATTGCAGGTGGAAAAGCAATGTGCCCACTTCTTTGGTGTAACCATAAATGAGCAACAAGCTGAGGCAGGGATTGTTGTGAGAGTAACTTCAACAACACAAAGCAAATTTAAGGTTGTTTGAGCTCCAAGTGCAGTGAATATGAGGAATTTTTTGGCCCCCCACCCCACCACTTTATATCTCCTTCCACTACTTTTATGCTAATATAACAGCTTTGTGTTGCATTTCTGATTTACAGTTGCTTTATTTTGAACAAGATGCCAATGGTGGCTATGGTTTGGCCTTACAGGTGCTATTCCTTTCTTACACTCCTGTATGCTTATAGCTTATTCTTTCTTAAAGGAAAAACTTTCTTTGAAGTTGTGGACTGGCAAAATCATGGATGAAAGCTTAATAACGTTTGTGTTGTTTTTAGCTTATTGCTATATTTTCTCCATAAAGTACGCATGGAACAAAGTTCTGTACCTTTATTGATGTTGTGGCAACATTTTGTATGCTTATTGCCATATCCTTATTGGCTTGCAACTTTGGATGACAGTGTTGTGTATTCTTATGATTAGGGCTTGTTGTTATGACTTTTTTCCCAATCAGTTTCTACCTATTAAGCCATCCATGTTCTTCTGTATCACTACAACCTGAATCCCATATTCCAACCACTTAAAAGGCACTCTTTTAGGTTTTGAATCTTAGTATATGCAATCATAATAATATAATATTGTAGTTTCAGGCAGCAAATGTTAATATTCCAATCCTTTTTCACCATTACATACACCAAAATGGATTGTACATTGTCATACCAACAAATATTAAAGAATTTATCAAGTTAGACAGAACGAGAGGTTGTACCAAATGTAGGATTGTTCTCTGTTATATAGATCTTCTGGGTTACTGATATGTGGTGTTGCTGACCCGTAATGGTGGATCAATGTGGAGGCTTTTAATTAATGACTGATATGTACTTGATTTTATGGTGGTGAAGGTGGGTCTTGAAAATGTCTATGTTGAGCTTTATAAAGCTATGAGACCGTCGACAACAAGCATCAGAGCTTGTATATTACGAGTCACCATGAGAAAATCACAGGAATTGGATTTCATGGATTATTGGATTACTGGAGCTCTCGGGCAAGGTGACTCCTTGCTGAATTAGATGGATCATCTTTTCCCTTAACATGTATTCTTTTGGCTATTAGTGAGGAAAAAGAATATGCCAAAAGAGTGCCTCCCATTTGTACATACCACAAGCATTCCTTGGAAGCTTAAAGTGTTATACTTATGATTTAGGTCATCTGCTAGCTTACAATAATAAAAGTAGTGAACCAAGTCTCATGTTTAACTAACCTGCACCATAAAATTTTTAAAGAAGAGATATCTTAAACTAGAAACAATGGTGTCTTCATCAAATAATCTTCAATTTCTCTCCCTCCTAATCAATTATGAGAGAGCATGTGGAAGCACCCCAAAAGAGGATGTGATGGCTCATTAAATGGTAGTACTACATGGATGATAAAGGCATTGACGCGTGCCAACGGCAGTCTCTTAGATGGGAAGATATTGTGGCTTGAACATCTGGAGATGAGCTCCTTCTATCAGATGACTTGGGCCTGTCTTTGTAGTTGTTTCAATATTCTTTCTTTTGAAGTGGTACATTTTTAAACATTTTTCGTATTTTGCTGCTGATTGAGCCTTGATATCTAGGATGAAATTCTTTATATTGGGAGTTCTGAATTGGGTCTTAATTAAGAAAGATGGCAATATTCTTCTTCCCAAAAAGGTTGGTTTGCACTGGAAGAATTTGACTTCAACTACCATCTGTAGTTGTTAACTTTCTTTTAGGTTCTGATAGTGTAGCAAATATCATTTAAAATCTGTTTAAAGGTTCTTTGGATGGTTTTGGCCTTTATAAAGGATTGTAGTGATCTTCCAGAAAGTTTGGTTTAGCATTTCCTCTTGTGATAAAGGGTACATGCTAATTTGATTATTTTTTTGGGGCAAGCTTAATGTTTGTGGGCATGTGAGTTCCCCAAGCTGCATTGCAATTGTAATCCATTGAGAGAGAACATATAAGAGTTGCTACTCAGGTGCCAAACTTCCTAAATTTTACTGTTTTTTGTCTCTACTTTGACTGCCTCTTTTGCACAATCTCAGGTTTTCAAAGTACTGAGGACTGCCTGTTATATGTTGAACTGATCTCGGTTGAGCCAAGCCGCATTAACCTTTTTACTTTTACATTCGCTTACCTGCTATATAATACCTGCCATTTTTATCTTGCATTTGGACGTGTGTGTAATTTAATGAGGAAAAACTAAAGATTTCTTGTTTTTCTTAATAAAGTTATGAGGAGCATATTCTCTCAAACATCAGAGTTTGATTGCTTGATTTTAGTTGCTTCACTTATGGATTTATTCTAGTTGTTCAAAAGCAAATATATTGACTATTCATTTCAGATTTCCCTGGAAGTTCAATTTGATTTCCATGATTACTGTGAAATCAAGTGATGTCTCATCCTAGCATTTGAAAACTTTTGTTAGGTTTATGAAATTTCCCTTTCTTATGATGTTTTGTACCCAGGATAATGCTTCTGATCATCCTATTTTATTTACTCGACCACTTAGACATGTATTTAAATTGTCCGCATGAGCTTTTTAGATGCATTTGCTTAAATCACCAGTCACTATCTGGTGGTGTTATAATCAACACCTTGATTGCGGATTCACAAAACTAATCATATTACTATCTATATACAGGAAGATAGTGAGAATTCTGGCAAGGTGACCTCTGCATGCATTTGCTTAAATCACCGGTCACTATCTGGTGGTGTTATAATCAACACCTTGATTGCGGATTCACAAAACTAATTATATTACTCTCTATATACAGGAAGATAGTGAGAAATCTGGCAAGGTGACCTCTGCAGGGATGTATTTCTTACATTTTCAAGTGTACAGAATGGATTCAACTGTGAATGCGGTATGGGGTCCCATCCTGTCACTTGATTTTTCCCCGTCTTCTTACTGTGGTGAATGTTATCTGCTCTTTTCCTCTTGTGTGGCTGTAGTAATCTTTTTGTACATCATGGTGGTGCAGTTAGCAATAGCCAAGGATCCTGATGCTGCTTTCTTTAAAAGGTTGGAAGGTCTTCAACCTTGTGAAGTTTCTGAACTGAAAGCTGGGACTCATATATTCGCAGTTTACGGTTCGAACTATTTTCTGTGTCTTAGAGCATGGTTTAGTTGTCTTATTTAATTTTTATCTGTCTGACGTCTACTGAATTCTTTCAGGAGATAATTTTTTCAAGACTGCTACCTACACAATCGAGGCACTTTGTGCAAAGACTTACGAGGATACAACAGAGAAGCTCAAGGATATTGAGGCCCAAATTCTTAGAAAAAGAAATGAGCTACGCCAATTTGAAACAGAGTACAGAAAGGTAGAATCCGCTTTATTGATGTGACTTGCATGGATATAGGGTGGTGCCCATTTGTCCTTGAACTCACTTGTGATGTTCTGTAGGCTTTGGCTCGTTTCCAAGAAGTAACCAACAGATACAGCCAGGAAAAGCAATCGGTATGTTTCAAAAACTTGGTGTCTCCTGTTAGATGTTCTTATTCTACATGTGTGCAATATTTCCAAACTAAATTAGTAGCATACAAAAGCATACACATATTATTGTAAATTTCCTTGAATTGTTTTCTGGAGCTGAGTTCATTGCAAGAGGAGAAGAAGGTCATCTCGTTGGTTGGTCATAGTGATAACATTTACCTTGTATCTTCTCTTTTTGTCTCTTCAGCTAAGGAAAGTTATATGATAGGGAAAAAAAAGGTGAAAATGAATTTTTACAACGAGGAAAATCAAGGATGTAGCTTCTTATTCTTCAACCATTTGCCACCTGAAAATGCTGGAAAGCTCTGTTTAAGATTGTTTTCCCATCCAACTTGGTATTTGATATCTTTTTCCCGTTATCATGGTGGAATCATAGTGCCATAGCTTACTCTGGTTCCATATCTTCTGGTCGCACTGTACCTTGGAGGTCCAGGTTCATTTTTTTTTAGCTCACCTTACCATTTTGGTTGCTGCAGGTTGATGAGCTGCTGAAACAGCGGGATAGTATACATGCCTCATTCACTGTAACTAAGATGGTGAGCTACTTAAGTAATGGAAGTACAAGCAAAGTTATCGGTGACGATTCAAAAGCTGAGAGTCCAGTGGAAGATGGAGGCTCTGATGGAAAGGATAAATCCTCCAAAAAGAAATGGTTCAACTTGAACCTTAAAGGATCTGAGAAGAAGTAGACGTATTTTGATGATTTTGTATTGCTTGGAGGGATTTGACTGGATATCCATCATTGGGTGAAGTACTTGGGCCGCCCACTTAGCATGCATAGACTTGTCTTGTATTATTATTTGTTTGATTTTTTATTTTCTCTTTTAGGGTTTTACCGAGGTGGCCTTTTCCGAGATGGTTCTGCAACTGTCAAATTCTGAATGTATCTGTATGTATAATCTTAGTTCATATTTTCATAAAACTGCACCCGTCTTCTTAGTTCATGTAGAACCTGAACATTGGTTGTAATGCTTACAAGTGAAATAAAACATTCTTTTGTTTCTTCTTTATTTTTTCCCTTTCTCGTTGTGGCTGTGATGGTGGCGGCTTTTCTTAATGTATCTAAACAGAAATGAGTGGTATTCAGATTTTGCATATTTATTAAACAACTTGACTCTTTCTTAAAAGAGATTGTTAAATCAATCTGATGGCCAGTGACTAGATGCTCAACTACTTCAATCATCTTCTGACTTCCAAGTAAATATATTATACATTTCCTCGAATTACAACTATCTGTAGGCGTTTTCTACAACTTTGAATTTAAAATATTTGTTCATGTTAGCAAAGTTTTATTCTCATCTCTAATACAAACAAACATGGGGTTGAGATTTGGAAACAATTGTGAAGACGACGAAGTCCAGAAAAAAATTGTGTAATATTTATGTCTTTCGCGTGAAAGCAACATACAATCAGATAGATAGATGAAATTCCGTTGCCAATACTATCGGATGGAATCTCTTATAGTAAAAAAGACCTCCGGTTGCCGACATAAGAAACAGCTTTACTTGTACAGAAACGATGAACTTTCCCAACAAGATTTAGTTGGGAAAACGCTTTTCTGACAGAATGAGGGATTTTAATTTTACCAACTAAAATCGGATTTAAATTGTCCATTTCGATCAGTAAGGAGAATTCCAAAATCAGTTTCATCGACTGGAAAGATGGCGGCATGAGATTTATTGAGGTTGCCACACTGTATGATCGTCTTAGCGTGAGAATGGTTTAAACATTGAGGGCAATGCGTCTTCAGACAGCATTCCTATTATTATGATATAGGGTTCTTATTAAGGGATCTTAAGAGAAATTAAATTAAACAAATAACTTTCGATGATGAGTTGGAGTGACATGTGAGGATGGTTTTTTAATGTGCTCAGCATGAACTCCCCCTTCTTTTAATCAAACTTCTTGTCTGGGCCTTTCTTGAATTAAAAACAATTGCGGTTGTGTTTAGATCCTTGTATCTACTTGGATTTTCCCAACAAACAAATTCCTCGAGTGTTCCAGGATTCATTGTTTATACGTGCCCAAGGGTCTTGATAATTAATTAATCGATAACCACATGAGGCAGTTATGAACTGCCTGAAACCCGTAATATTCCAGCTTTTAATTTCTATGTTGAGCCCTTGTTCAGAGGCCGAGTCCCACATGCACGCTAGGGAACAGAAACTCTATGATTCCAATATTTATCAAGATAAACGTACAGGGGTTGCTCACATACAACATAATGCTCCAAATATTTATAAATTTAAAGTTAAGAAAAAATCTATATATATTTTTTTAAATACAATATCTTTTCATCTAACAAATTGGAAAGCTATTGTTTTAGTTTTCCAAATTTATACTGAATTTTAAAAATTCTTTACAGTTTTCCATTAATGTTTTTCAAAAGAAGAAATGCAAACAATTTTTTTTTCTCTATATACAATCACTTTTTAGAAAAGTAAAAAATCAAAACTATTTTTTTCTTACATTTTCATATTTAGTTAGCATTATAAATTTATTCTTTTTATGAATCCAATATAGAGGGTTTTTTTTCTTTGAGTTAACAATATAAATTTTTCAAAATCATTTTTAATTTAAATAAAATAAAATAAATTTGATTTTAAAATTATCACGCACCTAAAATATTAAAATAATTATTGTAAATTATGATTTAAATTTTTTATGAAATAGTTATAATCTTGGTATGCATAGTTTTTTATGAACAAATATATCTTCATATATCTTTAAGTAATATACGAATAAAATTATAATTAGAGATCAAACACTATCCAGCTTGATAAGTTAAAGGCCATCCTCAATTATACATGTAGCATAAATATTTAAGTAATGTCCGAATAAAAAAATCATAGTCTGCAATTCTATTCCTTCCATAACAAAGACAAACAAGACAGGTGGGTTAAACAACGATCTCACATTAAGATAATATAGTACCCTGATTAACCTAAGATAAGGGAATCTTTGCTATACAGCAAATTTTAAGGTGGTCGGTATAATTTATCAGAACTTTTAACCTAGAAAACAAGACAAATGCTTCCTCTAGGCGAGGCAGCATCAGCAAGGTATTCTATTAAATAAATGTAATGTGGCCAATACTGTAATGAACCAATGCTATATAAATGTGATTATTTATTTAAGCGGCGAAAACTACGCAGATACTAATAGCTATAGGAAACACAAGTGGCAAAAACTTTGATATGTAAGAAGGCATAAGCTAAAAACTAATTTGGAACATTAAATAATTTTTAACAAGTATTTTAATAACATCAGTTGGGCGAACCTGTATAGAATTTGCAATAATATAAGTATCTATGTCATGTGCAGATGTTTCCCAACCATGTAACTTTGGGCTAGATGTTATGTGTGTCTAGTACTGTAGTGTCTTGCTTTATTAGAAACCAAAGCACATATATTTTGTCTCATTGATTGACCAAGGTCTTCTACTTCCGAACTTATTTCACGGGCTTCTCTTTCATTAAAAAAAGAACAAGAAAAAAGAAAAATCACACTCGGAAGCTTGATGGGATTCATACTGGCAATGATTTGTATTTTTTTTTTTTAAAAAAAAAGAAGAATGGTAGACATTCTAGACGGCAATCGAAGTTTTAAATGCTTCATATCATGTTAACAACATGATTGATTTGTTTAACTGGGTTTTAGGAAGACTCGGGAGGAAAAAAAAAGTGTCCCCTCACATGACTTAAAGCTAACTCCACCCAACCCTACTCCTACTTTCTTACACATTTTTTAATGAAGGAGGTAGTGTCACTTTGAATACATGGAAGGGTCCTTTGAGTCATACCCACAATGTTTGGGATTGTTTTTTAAAAAGAAGTTTAATGCCTCGAACATATCCATGAAAGGGATTTCCAACTTGAAAACTAAGTCACTTTGGGGCAATCTTTTTATCTTTTTGGATCATTCAAAAGTAATTGTTGCAGAAGAGAAGAAAGATGATTATATAAAGTTAATGGATTTCTAACGTGATAGGATCATGCCTCAAATAATCTTTCTTCGAATAATGTTTTTATAGAGGCTCGATCATTGGTTGATTTTCTTTGATAACCACAACTTTGGTGGGCCACATACGCGATTCGGGTGATCTTACATGATAATATCGGCATCCCTTCAATCAACCAACAAAGTAAGCATGATTAAGGCCACAAAGTGTTTTTATAAGATCAACAAAGTGTTTTTATAAGATCGGCATCCCTTCAATCAACCATTAACAAAGGAGGAGGAAAAAGGAAACCTTCGTAGAGAGGACAGTTGTTAACGAGGGAAGAAGATGGTGAAAGGATGATTGGACAATTCTTTCACCACCCTACCCGCTCTAGCTAAACTGCTTAAAACTCTTTCCAATGGGCCCAATGCCACAAATTTGCACATGCGGTCCCCTTGTACCCCATTGAGGGGTGGGTCCCAGTGTAGTTTGTTCAAAACAGGGAGAGGCCCCTTAGCTTTAGCCTTCTCACATGTGTCACCCTCCATTAGTGGAGAAACCCTTGCGCCTCTGCCAACCCACCATCTTGACAAATTCATCCCATGGAACTCCATCCTTAACCGTGGCGGCCTCTACTACTACCCATCTCCTGCCTGTCATTCATGCTTTTATTGAAAGGCCTGGCTATTTATTTTTTTTTGTAAGGTTTGTCATATTTTTATTTACTTATCGGTGCTACAAAGACCAGGAGGTTTCAGCTGATCACGGTTTTGCTAGCCCCCCGAAGCACACAGTAGGGAAACCCTCAAGTCTGCCCCATTGTTTTTTTTATCCTTGTGATTATTGATGAAGGGCAGTTCATTTATCAAAGGATAAATTATAACTTTATAATCTAACAAAATCATTTAATCAGTTCTTGTGCTTTGAAGAACTGTATATTTGATCCCAATATTTTTAAACCTATTTATAATAAAACTACTGAATCGATGATGACGATCAAGAAACTTTTAATTGCTTTTATAATGCAAGGACTAATTAGTTGATTTCGATAAACTCAAGTGACTCCCTTATAATTAACTCTTTACAAGTGAACAAAGAAGTTAATTACCCGGCGCAAGTACTGTTCCCGACAAGCATATATATCTGTGCTCACTCTTTAACCTTTAGGAGGATGACTTCTCGTTTCAGTTGAGGAGGTGGTCACTTGAGTGCCTTTTATTTTCGAGTGGGAAGTACTCCCCGAGACCCCCCGGTGGGGGGGATAGTGACCCAGCCTCTGCCTCTTTTTTTTTTTCCAACCTTCCCAGGATGGAGAAAGACCTAAAGGAAAAGATCATTGGATCCAGCATACTAAAGCGAGAGGGGTTGTTAGGTTTAGGAGAGCTTTTTATCTAAACTAATGGAGATCCCCATGAACTTACTTCTGAATCCATGGAGGTTGAAATTATAATCCAAGCCCTCTTACTGTCCAGTATTTAAACCCCATTTTAGGGACTTCATTAAACTTAAAGGGGCCCACTTAAAACTATTCACCAACTAGCCATCACGACAATCCCATCACATCCATCATCGTCTTATGCATCCGAGTAGATAAGGGGAGAAAAACACTTGGTTAAATTCAAAAGGAGAAAAAAATATCCAAGAAGCCACGTCCATTACAACCGTTGGTTATGACAAGCTAACTTGACCTTTAGGTTTTTTCACTCGTGATATTTAAACCTTATGTCATCATGTATATTAACCTCGTAATTAGGAATAAAAATTGCCATTTGGTTATTTTTTTAATTTATTTATGAAATGGGTGTGCAAGTAGGTTAATTTATATACACATCTTAAATGAATAATAATATAAATAATAATAACTATTTGACTCACATTTTAAAAAATAAAAAATATATAATTATAGTGGATAAAGAAACAAAAAAATTCAGCCTCCTAAGCTTAACAAACCTAGAGATTCGAGCCTTCTACAAAAAATTCAATTACACGAGCCTGGAACAACATGTGAGTTTGGGTTTTATTTTTAAAAATTTTGATTAAGGAAATGATAACTACGTCAGTCATCATTTATTACTTTAAAAAAAATAGTCGTTATTATTTTTTATATTTTAGTAATTTTTTATCACTGAAAAATTAGATTGATCTATTTAAGATGGAGGAAAGTCTATTTTTAACATGAGAAGAAGAAAAAAGATCATATGCATTTTGTAAAGTATATTTGTAGCCTCTAACAAGTCAGAAATTGGCTTTAAAACTTACAATCAATTAAAAATAATTTTTTTTTTAGGATTTAAATCTATCATTTCAGGCAAATTTAAAGGAGAAAAAAAATACCTTGTATAAACTTTATTCATCGACATAAAAATAACCTATTTGTGTGGTTAGAATTAGTCTTGACCAAGACTTTTTCGAATCCAACTTTCTTTTTTCTTATTTCTTAAATCATGAATTAAAAAAATAAAAAAATAAAATTTAAGATGAAAATTAAAATTCATAAATTTTATGGTTTGAAGGTTTATAATTTGAAAAGTTAGATGACTAAAGTGTATGTATAGCTCCAATTTTCTAAAACTCATCTTTTTTTTTTGCCACTTTTTCATCTTGATATTTATCTTTGAATCTTCCTATCCCTTAATAATTTTTTAACTGGCCATTAATTTATGCCTATAAAAATGTAATAAAAAAATAAAAAAATAAATTATTATGGCAATCCACAACAATTTGTTTACTGGTAAATAGTGATATTAGAATAATATTTTTTTTATTTCTTTCAAAGTATTTCTTAATCATTTATTTTACAATATCCATATACGAAGAAAACCCTATCACAACCATGCTTAAATTGAAGTATATGATATCTTATGAAAATTGAGCAAATCAAAAACAGATATACTACCAACAAAACTTGAATTTGAACAAGTTTTTTTTCTTACCATCTAAATCTAGACTATGTAATATTTAATTAGCTAGCAACAATAATGTTTATTGATGGAATCTAACGGTCGAAAAAGAACACAAGCTTTCAAATCAAAGTTGATCATCAGGATTCATGGGGGGATATTGACAAGGCCTTTTTTTTCTTACATGAGAAAATTTGACCAATTGAAAGAGGTCTTTCGAATAGAACACGCATGAGAAAGGGGGGACAAAGGTGGGTCATACGTTGGAGTTGTGATGAAGACATTGCAAGTAGGTTTTCAATAATTATATACAACAATAATAATATTTAAGCTCTTCCTCAAGTGGGTTATCACAAATTTGCTAAAGAAGCTCTCTCTCTCTCTCTCTCTCTCTCTCGCCCGTAGTTAGTAAGATTCGGAAAGATCTCTCAAAAAGAAATAAATCCATATAGTAATGAAGATCTCAACGTCAATCACGCAAACATCCTAAATATTATTCATCATCAGCACGTAATGGTAGGACCATGTGATAGTTGTAAGCACCTGAACATTTATATTCAAACAATTCATGTTTGATTTTTCCATCCAGCTAGCCAGTCTTGTTTAGTTCCTTGTTTATTAATTATATATAGTATGGCCTTTCGTAAGCTAAATTTCTAGTTTCTCATGTTGACTTCAATTCACAAGGTGACACGTGGGCCATGAAGAAGTGATTAGTTGGGGACTTCGATGGTGTTAAATCTTGAACGTATCTTGCTGTTTTAGGACATGGATCCAATGTTGCAAGTAGTTAATATGCTGCATGCATGGTTCAGTGTTTTGACTTTTGAAAGTGAGCGTGTTGGGTGGTTGCGGTGGTGTGTGTGCTCTGAGATATTGAGAGCCAAGGCACGCAGTAGCTTTGAGCTTGAGAGTAGGAGAGACTCGAGGGCTAAAAACGGCAACAGAAACATGTCTACAGTTGAGAGAGGGAGTTATGTTTTGTAAGATTTGGGCATTATTAATATTTAGCAGCCTGAGACATGGACTTCACGATGTGTCGTCGGGGTTCGTTCCACCACATTCATTTAAGGACAGTAAATTAAGGTTACAAAAGTGTCCGAGCTCTTAAAAGATGATTGAAGGTACAATCATATACATGTGCAATTTGATTAATTTATCTGTGAGGAATATTAATGTTTAATCCAAGTCATGGACAAGCATTGACATTATATACAGTAGAAAGGTACGTGTGTCACGTACGAAGTGGTTCATTAGCACTTACGTGTCCATTGCATGTGTATTGAGTATGAGAGCAGCTAGTGAAGTCTCTTTAATTGGTTTATCAAACCGATTTGTTGACTTCTAATTGGTCACCTTACTGTACTTTTCATCGCCCGTATGAAGTGAAAGCAAGTGATCCAGATCATTCGTGCACAGTTTTCTAACCTATTCGCAATAACAATAACTTTCCTCTCGTTGCAGAACTTAATCAGTGCAGTAGAATCCTCCAAGGAATCTCTTTGTGCGTAATAATATATATCTTGGCTTGTTGGGGGATGTTAGCCATTCCTGTGGTATTATTTGAAGACGATACAGTAGGGTTTTCTTCATGAGAAGTTATGAAATAGCAATGAATTGGAAAATCAAAAAGATTTTAAGCGGTAGCTTAATTAAAGAATTGTTTTGCATAAAAATATAATAAAGAATTATAATTAAAATTATTAATTATCATTACTATTACATTATTATTACTATATTTAATTAATTAAGAACTAATGGGACTATTATTGAATTGAATCCCGTTGTCTAACAAAGGGCATTCTTGCAATTTACCCCCATATACACCAACAAAGCTAAGAAAGTACAGTGGTGGCACGCAATAGAGAGAGAGAGATTTGCCCGAGACAAGTGCAATCCTTTTGGGTCCAGTGCTCTTGGTTCGTGTTCCCAAAGACCATCACACACTTTCGCCTCCTTGGGATGTCCGCAACCATCTCTCTCTACCTCTCTCTCTATGACATATCACACTACTCTTTTTTATTTTATTTTTCTCAATTTTTTTTTAATCCTGTATATATACCCCACCCATGCAACATCTCGCCTTGTACTTCAGAGCCTCAGCTCCCACGACCCTGTTTCTCTCTTTGTTTCTCTAAACAAGCCTCTCTAACCTTGCTTGAGTATCTAGAAATGGCAGAGCTAGACTACGAAACAAAACATAACTCAACCTCTACACGCTTAAAACTATTCGGCTTCAACGTCTCAGAAGATGAAGAACAAATAACCACTACAGACTCTCTCAAGTCATCTTCTTGTAATTCTCCTGATGACTCCTCTTTTGCCACAGCTACAACGACAGTCCCAGCTACGGCTTCAGGAGACAGCAGAAAATACGAGTGTCAATACTGCTGTAGGGAATTCGCAAACTCGCAAGCTCTTGGTGGCCATCAAAACGCACACAAAAAAGAAAGACAGCAACTCAAACGAGCTCAAATGCAAGCCACAAGAAACGCAGCTGCGGCTGCCGTTTCTTTTGGTAGAAACCCTATGATCTCTGCCTTTGCTCCTCCTCCGCATCTCCTGGCCCAAGCAGCAGGCCAGGTTATGGTCCCGGCGGCTTCTCCGTCGTGGGTTTACTTGCCACGGGCTGCAACACCGTTTCACGTTTCACATGGGTGTGTGTTCCCTAGTGGAGTGAGTGGGAGGGGTGGAGGGGGCTTACCATATGGTGACAGTGTAGGAGATTTTGGATTATCTACTAGTGCTAGTGGGCCACACCAACAACTGCAAAGTAGGACCCATTTTAGCAGTGTAGTTAATGATCGTAATGGGCCTACATCATTGAGTAGGTTCTCCGAAGGTGACAATGGGCCCAACTTTGATGAAAAACTGGGCTTGGACTTGCATCTTAGTCTGGCTCCAGCTGGGCCATGATTTTTTAGGAGTGACCTGGAATATTATTTTCCAGGTCGGATATTTGTACATTTTCAAATTTTATTTATTTATTTTTGCGATGATTTATTTCATTAGATCAGGAATTACTTCTTCGTCTCCATTTTGCTTTGCTAACCCGTTTAATTTTACAACTGACTCGCTTCCTTTAGCAAAATATTTGTTTGTTCCTAACAAGCTTGTTAATGGTGTATACACCACATTGTTGATTTTATCTGTGGACACGTCTAAGAAATTTCCTTGAAGCCTCGAGGTCACATTACATTAGCTGTGACTTGTGAGACCAGGAATCATAGCTTTTCTGATTGTCATTACTTAGCGTGTATTAGGGTTTTGTTTACTTATCTTTTCAATTTAATTTTTCTATTTTATTTTGTACAAATTCACCATAGCATCTGACCGTAGGACGATTGAACACCCGTGTCCCATCGAGCCCTTCCATATTTCCCTTTCCAATATTCTTACGTTATATGTAAACTTTCCAGAATTAATTGTCGGTATATGCGGGGGTAAAAGGAAGAAGAAGAAAAAATTCTCCGGTACAAGAAATAATATAAATTAAAGCTTAATCATTTATGAGATAACGTAGTTTGACAAATTAAGTTAAGCTTCATTATTAATTAATAAATTAAGTGTATATCCATTTGAGCATTAACTGGGATTGACTGCACCACTATCCCCCATTGATGCACGATGAGCAAATAAGAAATCTAGGGTGACCACTAAAATGGAAGGACAATAAATGCCCCCTAGAGACATCTCACGGGAAGAGAGAAGGGAAAACAATCATGTCCTAGCACAGAAAGAATGAAAGAAAATACATTATTGCATGAGCTCTAGTCTCCAGAAAACTAACAAATCGTTTGATGAAGTGCCTTACTCTAGCCAGTGCCTTCTGCTTCTCGAAGTTTGAGTGATGCAATGCGGGACCGAATCACATTCTCAAGACCAAAATTTTCCACACTGATTGTAGTCAAATTTATATTTGATTTGGGGTGTGGTGAAATCTGAACCTCTCGCCAAGAAAAAATTATAGTATAAGAAAATAAGAGTACTCCTAGCTAGCTAGGTGCCATCTGCCAACAATATTAGTTTCTAATTATTGCCTTAAGATATTGTTTATCACCTTTTCTTTTAATCAGAAACATGGCCCCCTAATTACATTATCAACTCCAATTTGAAGCTTGTGAGTAAAACAAAGCTTGCGTGGAACCACTGAGACATGATAATGCAAGTGAAGCACCTAACACATCAATATTCTAGCTAGGGTACTTTCCACCAAATATATAAATATGTATATATATTGACGTATGTATAAACGGTCAATAAAGGTCATGCGGACGCCAATCTTTAATTTCGGTGCAAAAGTGATAAATATAGAACTTTAAAGTATCAACATAATTGCAAGGCCGGTCCTTTAGTGCATGCATGCCTGTGAGTGACCGCAGCTAGCTTGGCTAACTTTGGCCAATAATTAAAACGTATTCACCAGAAAAAACGTAGTACCCATTATGGCCGCGCAAAAATCCTGATAGCCAGGCAGGATTTAGGAGGTAAGTGCATTGGACAAGAATATTCCAAGGATTAGATTGAATTTGGTTGCTTGAAATGATTATGTTTTGGGGTTTGATATTGAAAAGGTAAAGCAAGCAAACGTAATTGCATTTGAAAACTTGTGCCCTAAGAAAAAGTTTCTTCTTTGGACCCTTTGGATATATGAATAAATTTCCAAAAAGAACAACTCCTCTCCTAGTGGCAAGGGGAGAAGAGGAGTCGAAGATCAAACCCATTCCCACAAGATGATGACTTCGCATTTAAAACATATATGATACTAGCTGGGGATTGGACCCCGATCTCTTGCTTCATGATGCCTTCAAGACTGATGGCGACTTGCACTTCTAGGTAACCAATCAAAATCCCTTTCTCAAAAACTTGGTCACAATTGGGGAACCATTTCAATGTATGAACTTATATATATATATTAATTACAACCCAAAATGAGTTGAAAGTATCATTTCATTCCTTCATCGCCGTGTTCCAATCAAGCTGAAATATATATGTAGTTTTTCGTTGCCTAGCTGGTCACCTTGATCCAGACAAATTTTTAGCGCAAGTTGTTTGAATATTCGAACGTGATTGAGCGCTCTAAAACAATCTAATTAATCGATGATTCATCCATAAAAAGGACCCGTTGGAAAGTGTTTATAATATAGTTATGGTGTATTTGTGTTTGAAAGTGTTTTTTTAAATATATTTAAATTTAATACTTTTTAAATATCTTTAAATAATTTTAATATGTTGTCACCATAAACTTTAAAAAAATGATTTAATGATTTTTTAATCTAAGCACAGTTTTTTCAAAAACAGTCGTATTGTATAGCTAAATACGCAAGTCATTTCTCAGAAATTTATATCAGAATATAAAAGGTAAATCTACTTAAAACTTTCGAGAGACATGTATCCCTTCGATTCATTTTAATTTCTTGTGACATGAGGGGTAAAAAACTTGTAATAGAGGATTCAAGGGTGTATAAAAGTGTGGTATGTATTATTTATTTTTTAAAATATTTTTTATTTAGAAATCTATTAAGAGAATATCTTTTTTATTTTTAATATCAATATATTAAAATAATTCAAAAACATATAAGTTTCCCATGAAACATGCTTTAAAATGCAATTCCAACCCGCATATTAAAAAAAGAATGCTAACTCTGTCAACCCATTAATTATTAATAATTACCATCTTTAAGGAAAACAAAGACTTGCAAGAGAGGATTTAAAGATAAGCAATCGCATTTTCACATCTCAATTCGTGGAACCAGAATGTCATAGGCATGATGACACTGGCCTGGTAATATGGGTTTAGCATCAATTCTTACTTTTCCTAGAAAATGACCTCATCCATTACGGTGAATCCATATCATAATCTTTTTTTTTCTTTTCCTTTTACTGTATATTTTTACATAAAAAAAATAAGTCCCCCTTTTTAACTATCCAAGACCAAAGGAATCATGATAATTTTATTTGCAAGAAATTTGAAATTAATCCGATGACTATGATGAAAAAAATATATACTGATCTATTAATTATCAAATCAATCCTTTAAATTTATCATAATAAACAAATTAGCTACTATGCAGCGTTGTCTTTCTTTAGAAGTGTAATGGTTGGCGTGACAATAACTCAAAACTTCCCGATTTCATGTCAGTTCTCCTTTCAGGATGTTTGCTGTGCAATTTAAACATCCTTGGTGGGTGAATGGAAGCGACCTAATTCCACTTAAAATAATTGTAATTTCTTGAGAATATTTTAATGGCAGTTGTAATTTCTTGAGAATATTTCAGGTCTCATAGATCAAACTCAAGTTGTGTGAACGATTAATTGCTTTGGTTTTAGGGTTAACGATTAATTAAGTTATGCCTATATGTTGGGGGATTTATATATTGGATTGCTCCCTACGTCCTAAAATCAAGTCCATAAATAAATCAAGTCCATAAATCCTTATATTTTAATATATTTCCCAATATTCCCGTTGTCACCATTTTTACGATGAAAATAGCATTCAATGTATAAATCTAATCTAATTTTGAAAAATAAAATTTTTTCTACTTAATATAGACTCATGTTAGAATCCATGTTTACAAACTAAAATAAGAAAAATGATTCCAAAAAGCCAAAGGATAATTTTTTTTGAAAAAAATAAAAAATATTATACAAAAATGTATAAGCATAGAATAAAATAAAAACGAGGGCTTAAGAAAGTTTTTATATTAGTTTTAGAACATCCAAATTTTTTTAATCCACGCATGTTATAAGTATTGTTTCAAAGAATATCTACATTTTGCATCCCCAATAAAATAAATTGCTGTCATTAATGTTAGGTTTCTCTTAATTTGTAAGCTTAAGTGAGAAAATAAATATTTATATACTTGTTGCTTATAAAAATATAAAATTATTATATTTAGAGCTATATTTATTTGTGAGTTTTTTTTTCTCACACTTGACGGCTAAAAAATGGAGGGAAAAAAAGAGTTAATGAGTTATTTTAGATTTTAAGATAAAAAACAATTTTGTGTGATGTTCTATAAATTTTTATTTTTTATAATGAATTTTTTTATTTTTTTATTTGTAAAGTAGACCAAAATTGCCAAACCATATGAATTTTATGTAAACTCTTGTGAGATTAGTTGTATTTATATTTATATTTCTCCACACCTCATTTCAGTTTATCTTCAACCTTCTCACCATAAACCAAAAAGGAGAAGGAGAACTTGTTAGATGTTCTATATTCTAATGCAGTTGAAAGCATTATTAATGTTATGATCTATACTTGTTCAGATATTTCAAATATTTTACATGTTGTTAATATATCATGTAAATTTGTTAAAAATCCTGGTAATAGTAAACAATGAAATAAATACTTTATTATTTTAGAAGTAATATAAATATTGATTTGGTATATAATAAGGTAGTAACACTAGAGATAATATTAAAGACTTTGTGGATTCAAATTACACTGGTAATTTGAACAAGAGAATATCATTTGCAAGTTATGTTTTTGCTTTCTTATAATGTGTTGTTAGTTAAAAAGCAAATTTACAATTGATTGTTACTATATCCACAATATAAATATAATACATAACATTGGTTGAGGTTTAAAAGAAATTTTTATGGCTAAGAGGTTTAGCTATTAATTATGTTTGACCCCATGAGTTAATTGTTATATATTATGATAGTTTGATTGTTATTTATTTGGCCAAAAACCATATGTATCACGAAATAGATAACCTTATTGATGTCATTTGCTATATTATTCTCTATATCATGTCATATGGTGCTATATTGATGAGAAAGATTGTTTTTTGTTCATGACCTTGCATGTATATAGATAAAATCTATTTTTACAATTAAATTTAAACATTGTTTGGACTTTATCGATTTGTATAGTATTTAAAAGGTGTTTGGTCCAGACGATCAAAGATAAGTTTATTTTTTGTAAGTTGGCTAAACTCAAATTGAGATAAAGATTTATTTGGTTGTCTTAAATTGTAGGCCTGGGTGAAAAAAGAAATAGCAATGCATAAAAATATCAAATGAATAAAGGAAAAACATGTAATACACCTAGAATTGTTGAAAGGTAATGGTTGGATTTGTGCAAAGCCCCTTAAGTAAGATGAGAGATTGAGAGTGGAATGAGGGAGACTATCATCGTGGACAGAAAAAGAGAGAAAAAGAAAAGACTAGATCTACATCAACGATGAAATAGAAAGGAGGACGATAGAAATAACAAAAGAAATGAGAAGAAATGGTTTGGACAATTTAATTCGAAGAGAGTCACGTGTGAAAAATGCGACTCTAAAATCAAACATAGCAACTATTATTTTAAGAACTCGT